GGTGAAGTTTGAGGAATTTCCACCAATTTTTCCCCTTTTCGATCCCAAATCCCTCCGGGGCTGCCCCAAAATCCGGGGGAAATTGGGAAAAATTCCAGTTTGCCCCAAACTTTTGTTTTTTGTTTGGTTTTTTTTCACCCAAAACGGGCGTTTTCCCCTCAAAGCGAAAATAAAAATATTAGTAATAATAATTATAATAATCATGAGGGGTGCCGGACACAAAATTTACCTTTTTTCCCCTCACAAACTCCTGGCATCCCCCTCAAATTTAAAGGGGATAAAACCCCCAAAAATATCTTAAAAATTGCTTAAAATTGTTTAAACTTTAAAAAATTGGGAGGCTTTTCTTCCCAAAATCCCCGGAATTCGTGACAATTCTGAGCTTTGGGGTTTTTTTGGGGGGAGGGTTTTGTTTTTCGTGAGGGGATTTGGGGTGCGCCGTGAGGGGGGGTTGGGATTTTTTTGGGGCATTTCTGGAGTTTTTTGGGGGCGCTTTTGCGGGGAGGAGCTCGGGGATTGGGGGCGGTGTTTTGGGGGAGGGTTTGGGGCGGTTTCCGGGGGTTTTTGGGGCCATTTCGGGAGATTTTGGGGTCTTTCCCTCCCGCCCCTTCCCACCTTCCTCAGCCGCCATTTGCAACCGCCAGCCCGCGCTCGGCTCTGATTGGCTGCCGCCGGCCCGCGCTCGGTGCTGATTGGCTGCCGCCGATCACGTGCCCCGGCGCTGATTGGCCGCGCCTCACCCGGACCAACCCCTTCCATTGTGTTTTTCCCGCTCTTTTTCCTCCCCTCACGTTTCCCGCCCTTTTCTCCCCCTCACGCTTCCCGCCCTTTTTAATCGACATTTTCTGTCCTCTTTTGCCCACTTTTATGGCATTTCCCTCACATTTTCTGCCCTCTTTTGCCCACATTTTCTGCCCTTTTTAATTCGCGTTTTCTTCCCTTTTAAAAATCACATTTTCTGCCCTTTTTTACCCAATTTTTGGGGCTATTTTCGCTCATTTTTTGCTGTTTCTCAGCCCAATTTTTGGGCTACTTTTGCACATTTTTGGGGCGTTTTTCAGCCCAAATTTTTTTCCTTTCCCAGCCCCATTTTTTTTTCCTTTTCCCACCCTCATTTTTGGTCAACTTTTGCGCATTTTTTATGCGTTTTTCAGCCCCTTTTTTGGGCTACTTTTCCTCATTTTTCCCCTTTTCTCACCCCCATTTTTTCCCTTTCCCACCCCCATTTTTGGGCTACTTTCCCTCATTTTCCCCCTTTTTCCCACCCCCATTTTCCGTCTCCCTCCCCCATTTTTTTGCCTTTTTTTGCCCCGTTTTTCCCCATTTTTTCTCCTTTTCCCAACCCCATTTTCCATCTTTTTACCCCATTTTTTTGCCTTTTTTTGCCCCATTTTTCATATTCCCCCCCCATTTTTTTGCCCCGTTTTTGCCTCTTTTTGCCCCGTTTTCCCCATTTTTTCCCACCCCCATTTTCCATCTTTTTCCCCCCATTTTTTTGCCTTTTTTTTGCCCCGTTTTCCCCCATTTTTCCCACCCCCATTTTCCATCCTTTCCCCCCATTTTTCCCCCCATTTTTTTGCCCCATTTTTGCCTTTTTTTGCCCCATTTTTCCCCATTTTTTCCTACCCCCATTTTCAGTATTTCCCCCCCATTTTTTGCCCCATTTTTGCCTTTTTTGCCCCGTTTTTCCCCATTTTTTCCCATCCCCATTTTCAGTATTTCCCCCCCATTTTTTGCCCCATTTTTGCCTTTTTTGCCCCGTTTTTCCCCATTTTTTCCCATCCCCATTTTCAGTATTTCCCCCCCATTTTTTGCCCCATTTTTGCCTTTTTTGCCCCGTTTTTCCCCATTTTTTCCCATCCCCATTTTCAGTATTTCCCCCCCATTTTTTGCCCCATTTTTGCCTTTTTTTGCCCCGTTTTTCCCCATTTTTCCCCCAATTTTCCCATGGAGACCCCAAATTCCGATTCCCCCCTGGCACCGCCTTTATTGGGGTTTTTTGGGGTCCCTCAGCCCAATTTTGGGGTCACTCAGGTCGATTTTGGGGTCACTCAGCCCAATTTTGGGGTCACTCCGGCCGATTTTGGGGTCCCTCAGCCCGATTTTGGGGTCACTCAGCCCGATTTTGGGGTCACTCAGCCCGATTTTGGGGTCACTCAGCCCGATTTTGGGGTCCCTCACCCCAATTTTGGGGTCACTCAGCCCGATTTTGGGGTCCCTCACCCCAATTTTGGGGTCACTCAGGCCGATTTTGGGGTCACTCAGGTCGATTTTGGGGTCACTCCAGCCGATTTTGGGGTCCCTCAGCCCGATTTTGGGGTCCCTCAGGCCGATTTTGGGGTGACTCAGCCCAATTTTGGGGTCCTTCACCCCGATTTTGGGGTCTTTCACCCCGATTTTGGGGTCACTCAGGTCGATTTTGGGGTGACTCACCCCGATTTTGGGGTCACTCAGGTCGATTTTGGGGTCCTTCACCCCGGTTTTGGGGTCACTGCTCGCCTTTATTGGGGTTTTTGGGGTCACTCAGCCCGATTTTGGGGTCCCTCAGGCCGATTTTGGGGTGACTCAGCCCAATTTTGGGGACCTTCACCCCGATTTTGGGGTCTTTCACCCCGATTTTGGGGTCACTCTGGTCGATTTTGGGGTCCTTCACCCCGATTTTGGGGTCTTTCACCCCGATTTTGGGGTCACTCAGGCCAATTTTGGGGTCACTCCGGCCGATTTTGGGGTCCTTCACCCCGATTTGGGGTCACTGCTCGCCTTTATTGGGGTTTTTGGGGTCACTCAGCCCAATTTTGGGGTCACTCAGGCCGATTTTGGGGTCACTCAGCCCGATTTTGGGGTCCTTCACCCCGGTTTTGGGGTCACTGCTCGCCTTTATTGGGGTTTTTGGGGTCACTCAGCCCGATTTTGGGGTCCTTCACCCCAATTTTGGGGTCCTTCACCCCGATTTTGGGGTGACTCAGGCCGATTTTGGGGTCACTCAGGTCGATTTTGGGGTCACTCAGGTCGATTTTGGGGTCCTTCACCCCGGTTTTGGGGTCACTGCTCGCCTTTATTGGGGTTTTTGGGGTCACTCAGCCCGATTTTGGGGTCCTTCACCCCGATTTTGGGGTCCTTCACCCCGATTTTGGGGTCCCTCACCCCGGTTTTGGGGTCACTGCTCGCCCTGCCACCAGTGGTAGAGCTGATCCGTCAGGATCCCGGTGTAGGTGACCACGGCCGTGGCTCCCTGCTCGTACGCCGTGCTGGGGGGAAAAAAACAAATTTTGGGGGAAAAAATACAAAATTTGGGGGGAAAAACCCAAAATTTGGGGGAAAAAAACAAAATTGGGGGGAAAAACCAAAAATTCGGGGAGAAAAACACAAAAATTCGGGGGAGAAAACCTTAAAATTGGGGGGAAAAACCCAAAATTTGGGGGGAAAAAACCAAAATTTGGGGGAGAAATCCCAAAAATTCTGGGAGAAAACCCAAAATTGGGTGAGAAAACCCAAAATTTGGGGGAGAAAAACTCAAGTTCAGGGGAGAAAATACCAAATTCAGAGAGAAAACCCAAAAAATTCAGAGAGAAAACCCAAAATTGGGGGAGAAAACCCAAAAATTGGAGGGAAAAACCCAAAAATTGGGGAGAAAACCCAAAAATTGGGTGAGAAAACCCAAAAATTGGGGAGAAAACCCAAAAATCGGGGGAGAAAATCCCAAATTCAGAGAGAAAACCCCAAAAATTTGGGGGGAAAACCCAAAATTGGGGGTCCCCAAAGCAATTTTTGGGTAGAAATCCCCAATTTTTGGGGAGGGGTCCCGGGGGATTTTGGGATCCCGGATTTTTGGGGAGGGGTCCCGAGGGATTTTGGGGTCCCCGATTTTTTTGAGGGTCCCGGATTTTTTTGAGGGTCCCGTATTTTTTGGGGGGGGGGTCCCGAGGGATTTTGGGGGTCCCGAATTTTGGGGGGGGGGCCGGGGGGGTTTTGGGGTCGCCGTGT